TTAATTTCTAAATATAGTAATAGTTAATAAATATATAAAGAAATAAAAATTCATAATCCAAAACTAAAATTATATAAGAAGGTTTTTGCAGTACAATTGTAATTTTGAGTTTTTGATTTTAGTTTTTAAAAATTTAAAAACCTTGTAACAAAATTAGGTAATTTTATAAAGTAATTCAATTTAAAATTTGGGGCATTTCTTTTAAAATTTTATATCCAATGTATTGATAATTTTAATTTTTAATTTTGGTTTTTAATTGTTAAATTTGTTTATTTGAATTTTAAATTTATATATTTGTTACAATTATTAACACTTTTATATTTCTATTTTTACCCTTACTAATAACTCAACAAAAAAATGTAATGCCTTTTGATCTCCTTCAATATAAGAGCAATATTGAAATATTAGCATTTAATATTTCATTAAAATAAAAAATGAGAAATTAAATTAAACTATTTTTATTTTAAAAATAAGACAACTGAATTTGATTGGAAAGAGTACAAGATTTGCTTAATTGAGCATTTGGTTTAACAGTATGATTCTTATTTTTCTTTTCTTTTCTTTTTCTTGGGTACATTGAAAGTTACCTACTTCATATTACAAAAATTTAAATATTTTATCTAAACCCCAAATCAAAATATTTTTATTAGATATTACAAAAATGTAAATATTTGATATTAACCCCAAATCAAGATTTTTTAACTTAATGATACATATTGAGCCAAAGTCTTCTCAATATGATTATTACCTTTTCTTATTTCTATGTGAACAGATCTAACCAAAATTCTAGAAACGCACCTACTGCTTTACTTTTCTTACTTCTATGTGAACAGATCTAACTTAATTTCTTGAAACGAGCCAGTTGCTACGAGGAAAGTGGATCATTGCACCACAAATTATGGTCCGTTTGACAAAGTCGATGTGTTATATACATTTTAAATTTTAATTCAATTCTAAAGTACTTATAAATAACAAAAAAAAAAAAAAAAAATTCAGCAAAACCGGCATCTTTCATCTCCATTCTTTCATCTGGATGAATCATTATTCCTCAAACCAAGTAATCATCTCCCATTGTGAACTGCAAATCCTACTTGGTCTAGCAAGGTGTTGTGGACACTCATGCTACCACTAGCATCAAAGTACTCATGGTAACCAGATTTATCAGACGTTTCATCAAGCAAGTACTCTGCTTCTTCTACATCCAATGCTTCGTTAACCAATGGATGCTTTGTCATACTTCTCACTCCCTCTAATTTCATAGCCACTTCCTTCATTGTAGGCCTTTCCTCCCCTTTCGCACTCAAGCATCTCCTTGCAAGATTAGCTACCTCATTGATCTGCTCAATGTTTGCTTCGTTCACTATACAACCATCAAGAGTTTTTCCCAAACAAATTATCTTTCATTGCAAAAAGAAAATAAATGGAAAGATTTCTCTTTTCCTCTGCCCTATCAAAGGAAAGTACCTTTTCTCCGGTCAAAAGCTCGAGAAGGACAACTCCAAAACTATAAAGATCACTTTTCTCTGTTAATTGGCTTGTATGCAAGTACTCAGGGTCCAAGTATCTAAAAGTTCCTTAAACAACTATAGATAATCCAGCCTTGTCTTGTGGAACCAACCTTGAAGTACCAAAATCAGATTCTCTTGCTATGTAGCTATCATCTAAGAGTATGTTTGTAGACTTTATATCTCTATGAATGATTGGTGTAGAGGCTGTATATGGCAAATATGATAGCCCTCTAGCAGTTTCTACTGCTATCCTTAAGTAGATTTCCCAGGTCAATGATGAAGCCTTATTTTTATTGTGGATGTGATGGTGGAGAGTGCCATTGGCAATTAATTCGTAAACCAACAATGGAACCTCTATCTCTAAGCAACAACCTATTAGTTTCACCACATTTCTGTGGTTGATTTGTGAAAGAACAACCACTTCGCTTATGAATTGCTCATTTTGACTTTCATCAATAATGTGTGACTTCTTAATAGCAACAATTCTCCCATCTCTAAGAGCTTCATTGTAAATTGTCCCATAACCTCCTTGATGTAGAATTTTGCTTTCATCAAAGTTGTTTGCAGCCTTCTCAAGTTCTTCAGCTGTAAAAATTTTAGCTGTTTTTGCAGACCTTCGTAGTTGGATAGTTGTTATTGCAACATCAAACCTTCATTTTGCATGAAGAACTTTTGTTTGAGTTTGATGAGCTTCCATTTGCTATATCCCCAAGACAACCAAGTGCCTGCTACCAGGAATAATGCAAGGCCTCTAATCCCTTCGCAAGTTAAAGAAATAAAAGTGATTATGCGAGTTGATAAAACATATTTTGACTAAAATGTAAGTTAAAATATTCAAAAAAAAAAATAGTGGTTTGCAAATGCAAACCACACCAGACTACAAAACACTAGCTATTAGTTTATTTGAGATCTTTGATATTAGAGGAAGGCCACTCCATCCAATCTATACTACAAAACACCATCCTCTTAAAAGTGTTCCCAACTATAGGAAGTTAACTAAATTGTTCAGCAAACATTCTACTTTTAGTAATTGTAGGGTTCATATTTAGAACTAGGGGTGGGCAAAAACCGATTTTGGTTAAAACTGAAATTGGTTTTAAAATAACCAAAAATATTTTCTTTAATTTTGAGAACCAAAATTGAACCGAAGTTTTCACAAACCGATTCGTTTGATTACCAATAAAATTGGTTTGGTTTTGATTTTTACTAAATAAATATTAATCAATTATTTTTTTAATAATAGATTATATTTTATATTATTTTTTATCATATTTTGTTATATTTTGTCATATTTATCCCAATTTTGATTTTCAGAAAGCTTATTTGTAGTTTTTGGTTTTTAAAAAGTTCAACATAAACCAAACCAAAATTTATTCAGTTAATGTCAAAATCAAAACAGTAAAAACCAAAAACTATTGAAACCGAACTAAATTCATTTTTTCGGTTCAATTTCCAAATAACCCTTTGGTTACCCACCCAAATGCCCACCCCTATTTAGAACAAACTCAGGAGCTGTTTTGATTACTTAAACAAAAATAGGCGGAAAATAAAAATATGAAGTTGAAATCAACGAAACTGCAAAAGTATGTTGGATATGACTACTTGGTGGTGGAATAAAATATGTGTACTTGCCTACAGGGACCAGAATTAGATTGCAATCATGTTGGTGATTTGCAACGCAACCTTGTTCACCATTGATTTCAACACGATGGTAACCTTTGGGGCACGGACATGTATAACTTCCTACTGTATTGGTGTAGATCATATCTTTACAATCATTGCAATTAGGATCTAAACACTCATTTATGTCTACAAAAAGAATGAAACCTATCAGAACAAGAACTAGTATTTTGACTTAAAATACAACACATACAGCTTGAGTATAAATGGGTTACCTTGGCAACCGCTAGGTAGGTATGGATTTCCTTCAAACCTTTTGAGCAGTTGCATTGATATCCATAATCATCAACAGGAATGCAATAGCTATTTCCTTGGCATGCCTTTGCTTTATTACCACATATATGGTTGATGTCCCAAATTGACCAATCAAGCACCAGAGGGAGTTTACTAACATTTTGCAAGTCGAGAAGATAATTTGAAGAAAAGTTGAACTGACCTTCTTCCATAATGAAGCCATAGCTACTAGGGTTAAACTTCCAAACTCTTGTATGATTTTTGCTACTAGTCACTGTTACATTGATATTGGTTGTTCCTTTGGAATGGATGTCTGGAAACAGTCAATACCAGGACATTTGTGTAATTGGTTACATAGTCAATGCTGTCGCATTTGGTTATGCAACATGCAATGTAGCTTTTATTCCCTTGGATACCTTGAACACCTTCTACATATGCTATCGTATCACAGCCAACAGCAACAAACTTGTTATCAGTGTCAAAGATGGTATAACTGTATAAATCTACATGGAGCCAAGGATTGTCCCTGTAAGTCAATGCCCCAAACTTATCATAGCAATCATGGGCTATACATTGCATTATGTGTAGCTTCCCTTCAGGATCTATGTTGGTGACATTGATTGTACTATTAGCTAAAAATTCTAATGAGGGATCAAAAGTGTCATTGCAAGTTATGAGAAAATTGTCATTTTAGTAACATCCTTATGTGAATGGATATGGGATACTTACATTACCACACTTATCTTGACAACCAGGTTTTCCATTAGGAGCTGGTTATGCTACAATTGCTGCTAATGGTGCTGCAATAAGGATGACCAGCCAAAACCTTTCATGAATCCCCATGGCTGCTGCTTCCTGCTTTCTTTAGATTGGGCTTCCTCAAAAATCCAGATTCCAGTTCATAGAACAAAGATCTCCAGAAAGTTAGTTCTTTTATTCATAGACTTGTGAAAGAAAAATTCAATATTGGATCTCAATAGGAAAGTATTCTATTAATGTCTTGCTGTGGCATGACTCTGAAGCAACTATATATAAACTTCTGTTGAAAACTCTAATTCTAAATTGTGCTCAATATTTGTAAGTAGGTAGACCTACCATGTAATACTAAACTAATATGAAAAACCTTTTCGCGGACCAAATCGATGTATATATGGATGCATTATGAGTTCATGACTTAGCCAGACCTCTATCAGATAATAAAATAGTACCCACCATTAGCTAATAAACAGAAGAACATCTTGATATTCAAATTTTCGATTGGGAAAAAGTCAACTGTTGATTGTTTTTTAAAAACACAAAAGCGCTTACTTCTGTACTAGTGAGCCTATAAAAATTAGAAATGTTCAACTGTCTCTTAGAGCTTACATTTGACCATTTCAACAGTGATGCAATGCAATAACGTAAATGTTAAGTTTATTTATTGAAAGGATTACAGAACCTGATGTGCAGCTTTGTTCAAAGTACCACTACCAACCAAGCTGACAGGTGATGAGCATTGAGCATACTCCCAGACCCAGACCCAGTCCCAGTTAAAGTGGGTGAGTAACTCCTTTCTCATGGAGACAAAGTCCCCCAAGTGTGGTGGTATCCTATTTTGACTATTTGTTTCCCAAAAGAAAATTTTGGTACAAAGGCAAACACATACTATCCTGAATACGCGCAGAAAAAAAAAAAACTCAATTAAACACATTATTATTTAAAATTAAATTAGTTAATTATTTAATATATGATATATAAAAAAGATTTAAGAATTTTATTAAATTATTTAAAAATTTTATTAATTTTGAATAAGGTGACTTTAATTTTTTTTAAAAATAAAAATAAATAATTTACCAAATGCATAAATTACAAAAAAATTCTACAACAAATACTATAAACAACATTATCAAACTAAATCTAAATTCGATCAACAAAATACAAAGATTTGCTTAATAGGATTAATTCTTCAAATATAAAAAATCATTCGATTTAATACTATGATTCTTACTTTTGTTTCTATTTTTTTTATATATTAAAAAATTATATATTTAATATTATAAAATTTTTAATTTTTAATTTTAATTTTATATCAAAATATTTTAATTTAATAAATACCAATTCAATCCATTTCTTCTCAACGTGATTATTACTTTTACGTACCTCTATGTAAACACATCTAACTTAAATTCTTGAAACGAGCCAACTACTAATAGGACAATGGACCACTGCGCCACAATTGTGGTCCGTTTGACAAAGTCATACCCTTCTCAACGTGATTATTATTTTTTCGTACATTATGTGAACACGTGTAACTTAAATTCCTGAAGCGACCCAAACACTAATAGGACAGGGGACCATTGCGCGACAATTGTGGTCCGTTTGACAAAGTCAGTGTGTTACTTATAAACATTTGAAGATGAGCAGTGCTAGAGGCACTCGCTTTTTGCACTCTCCAGCCAATACTTCCCTTTTCATTAGGCCACGTAAGCTTCTTTAAAACTTTCAGCGCAACCTCTCGGAAACCAAAATAACGTGGCCCAATAAAAGAGAAAGTGTTGGCCGAAGAGTGCAGGAGGCGAGTGCCCCTAGCATTGCTCTTTGAAGATATGTTTACATGTTTAGGGTCTCAGTTAAGTGTTTTTTTTATAGTTTTATAGAATTTTTAGGCGTATATGCATTTAATAATTTTTTAAATTATTTTTAAAAAAATTATAATAATTATATATATATATAATTAAAAATC